CCCCAAAACCCCAAAACCCCAAAACCCCAAAACCCCGAGATAGAAGCTTGCAATTGAACTGGAATAAAGAATTCAATGTAGACCAGTCAGATTCAGAGCATGAACAGATAGAGATGCCACCGAAGTTACATTTGGGCAGCCCTGTTGTGTCTGGTAACCTTATCCATGATCTTCTCTGCACACTCTTTGTATAAGGCTTCGCTTTCGTTTAGTGTTGGGTTTTTAGCAATCAGAGTGTCAATGTATTCAGAGTTCAGTGTTTTGTGTAGTACATATCTCATCTCTGGCACAGCCAAGAATACCTCCAACTTTCTGTGAGAGTAAGAAAAGAACAGACTCCGCATCTCATCTTTCAGCAGTCTGGTGGTTCCAGGGAACATGATTGAAGTGCCTTTGGAAGGATCAATCAGCACTATCAGGAAGTCTTTGAGATTTTGGAGTTGACTGTACAGTGAATTCATAGAATCAGATGTTTCTTGCTGCAGAATGTGAGGAATGAAGGCATCCATGGCATTATCAAACTCACCATCGCTCATCTCAAACCTCATTTTGAGAATCTCAGCGTGATCATCAAGCTGGACATCAGAGGTATGAAGTCCTGTACTTATACAGAAGACTCTAAACCACTGGACAAATTCTCTTCTAACAGCTCTGATAAGAGTCTTGTCATTGATGTCTAATCTAGTATTTCTTGTATAAAAATCTGGATTTTGGTATTTCCTTGGTCTGCCTCGACCTCTCTTAGACCGAGGTTCCTTAGTTTCTTCATTGTTTGCTTCTTGGCAGCATTCTTTGGCTTCCTCATTATCAGATTTTCTTTGGAGGTTCTTCATTTCTAGAATCTTTTTACCCCAAGTAGAAGTAAGAAAATTTGGAACAATATCAAAAAGATTGCGAATATATATTAAAAAGTTTATTTCTAAAAATGTATGAATCGATGAGAGAAGTCTCGATAAAATTGTTTGTTAGAGTTAGAGATAAGGATCAAAACAGCTCATTAGTGAAGCAATAGGCATATTAATATATCCCCTAAGCTTGTGGAATGGCGAGGGCTTAATATAAACTTAATCTGAATGATCTAGCCTTATTAGGCATTAGTGCGAGAGTCTAAACACAACATCTGGGGGTTAATTTCTTTCAAATATTTACCTTGGGGATGCTTCTTGATGATTATGTTAATCTTGACCTTATTATCGTCCTCTATGGTCATCTTCACCTTCATGTCTTGAGGATGAGACACTTCACACAGTAAAGGAGGAGTCTCAGGATTTGTCCCTAAATTTATTATTCAAGTTGTTTAGGATATATCCCAAATTTAAAAGAGTTCTACAGGCCTTCTAATTTTCATTGTTATTGCTTAAATATATCTAAAAATTGGGAAAGCAACCTTCCTATTATCTAAAGTGATCGTAGGATATCTCATCCTTTAGCACGCTGTTTTAGCTAAGTCAACTGTTAATTCATAAAAATTATTTACAACTATCGACTCGTTTGGTAAAATATATTCCTATGAAGATGGCCTTATGTTTATAGTGCAATTTATTTCATCAGGAACTCGCTCTGAAATTGCTAGAGTCTTTTTAAATGCACTAGCAGACTCTTTTCGAACAATGAAATGAGTTCATGAAAAATATTTCCTCCTGACTTGTCATTAAAATTATGACTCACCCTCGCTCAGATTATAACAAGGCTGTTTTAAGATAGATCGAAGCTAGCATAAGGCAGATTTAATATTATCAAACCTCTGCTGCATTATTTTAAGCTCATGGATTTTCATATAAATTATCGATTTAGGCTCCCAAAAAGCTGTACAAGATGAACCCAACTGGGGTATTATAAGCAAATTCGCCCAAGAAGGATCCTCAGAGATATTAAAGAATTCTTATTGCATGTAAAGCCTAAAGATTATGGTAAAAGTGCTCGTAGCATATGAATTTGCCAAGATTTTACAGTCATATTTCTTTGATTCCCCCATTTTATTCAGCATGGACATTTAAATTAAGAATAATTAAGCTAGACTTGTGATGAACTGTGCTACAAAAGGGTGTAAACACATCAGATTCCCAAAATCTTTGCAGTCAATCAATCAACTTGAAATAATTTATTGCTAAAAAGAGCCTGAGATCCTGTGGATGGCCAAACCTGAGCCTAACCTACCCATCCATATTGAATTTTCTTCAAATAGGTACTCTTTCCCGACCAAGAAGGAGAGCCATCGAGGCAACTAAATTTCTAAATATGCTTCAGAAGGTTCTCTGATAAAATAAGTGGAGCCGAAGTGAACTTGTTGGGTTTATCTTCAAGTTATTTTGAAGATAATTATAAAAGTTCAGCTCCTACTAAGAAGATTTTTCAGATGCAAATTGCTCGAAACAGCAGGCTTATCATGACAGATCCCTAATGCACCCAGAATCAATGATGAGCATTATAGTGATGTTTAAAGCATTCCCTTAGGCTTCTAGACCATTTAAAGAGCTTTCAGTGGACCTCTGGAATGTTTGCCAAAATATCAAGTCGCCGTTAGTGTAAACTCTAAGTTTTATCATTGCCAGCCTCATCAAAAATAAAAAGATTTCTCAAGTGAAAATTGTTTGGTTAATCCCTTTTGCTGTTTATGGATAGTCCAGCATAACACAAAGGGGTTAAAACAGCTATATCTGTACTTACCTTGAACAAAGAGACTCTGGTTGGTCATATTCATGGGTTGTCATTGTTCTAGATATTAATAAATTTTAGAACTAAAAATTTGGCAGCATCACAAAGCCTCATTTTGTAACTAAGAGAAGAGACGAAATTAGTGATAAATATCAAGCCAAGTCTTTGTTATTGTTGGAAGACCAAGACTAATGGTATTATCCAGATCAGCTTTATTTCTTAGCATCTAGTCCTCATCTATAATCCTCAAATATTGCTATCAGTGCTATTCCACCCAAGTACTTATGAGAAGCGATGACTAGATGTATTCGCACGCTAAAAGATTTCCGTGGATAACCAAAGAGACTCTTTCTTAATTGCTCCTCTACATTTTATATGAGCCTCGAATTTCCGATGGTTAGATAATGAGTTTCCATGTCACCGAACATACCATATAAGAGAATTTGCATAAGCCCAGAGCTGCCATATTTCACGTTTTATCTTTATTAAATTTTAAGCTCCGGCAAATCTCAGAAATCCAGAAAATATTAGAATAAAATTTTTGACATTTAGTTAAAAATCCAAAAGATATTATTTGATATTTCGACCAAATTAGTAAACAGAGTCCACTAATGATACAAGGAGCTTTCACCACCAACTTCGCAGCTTCTGGTGCTATAGTTACTGAGGTTCTCAACTTGCCTAAACTCTGCAATAGAGTGTTATAGGACTCACCTTGAGTTATTTCTGGTGGGCACATGCACCACTGGGAGAGGTCTTGAGCTTCAGCCATGTCAGACTGCTTGTCTTCTTGTTTTACAGACTTCCCGGTCTTGCTATCACTCATGTTCCTGATAACTAATATTATTACTCAATTGGGCGAGCCCCTATTGGGGTTTTGGGGTTTTGGGGTTTTGGGG